GGGGGGTTGTTGTTTTTTCGCAAGCCGGCGTTTGTCCTTCCATCCGATTAAGGGTTCCTCGAGGACTGCTAGGAGACCGCCTTTTTTAAAAGGTGAGAACAAGATTGGGGGGGGGAACAAACAATCAATCAGCCGCAAGCACAACAACAACAACAACAACAACAACAACAACAACAACAAGCGACAAGGCCTTCACCTGCACCAGGAGGTCCCTTCGTAAAAACAGCATCAGCACAGCTATCAAGGTCTTGTGCTTGTGCTTGTCAAGCGACGAGAAGAGGCACAGCACACGGCATGGGAACAGGACGGTGCGACAAAGACGGGAGTGAGGGAGAAAGAAAGGGGGCACATCAGAAGGGCTTGGAAGAAAGGAGGGTACCTACCAAGAGAAGAGGGGCTCACGTTTTGGTTGTACGGGCGGGGCTAGCGAGTGGTGTGTCGGTTGATGCAGTCAGCGGATTTCAGACGGGGTTGTGCCAAACTTGCACAAACAACAGTAAACACAAAAAATAAAACATCAACAACACTACAAAATAATACGATCCCCTGATGCTGATTCAGACCCCATGCGGAGCCACAAGAGAAATTCGCGTGACGCTGCTTCCCTATCCCACTAGCCTGCAAAACCTTTACCTGGGGCCCTGAAAATACCGTAGAACTGTAGACAAAGTACGACAAGCAAGTAGAAGTATACAGCAGCGGTACAGCGTCGCTTGGCAACGCCGCGCGACCAAAAACGCAATCGCTCTCTCGAGCACCAACGGTTGGTGAGAACGAGAAACTCGGAAATCGCCCCCACGGGTCTAACGCCAGCCACGGTTTGCGTGCTACGGGGGTATAACTTAGCGATAACCCGTGCGAATCGTGCCAAAACATCAACACCAACCGCTCTTTGGGTGTTGAAGAAGGACAGCAAGGCAAGAACACGCGAGATGTCGTGCCAACACACAAACGCTGACCACGGTTTGAGTGCTGCTGAAACAACGCGCGAGAATTTTGCTGACACACTACCCGTCGATGCAGAAAGATGAGCTTTTTAGAAATGCACTTGTAGGTTTCGCTGTGCCATGGCTCGGGATGAGTGATCGATCTGAAGCTTTTTCCAGTCCGCCAGACGACAGGGGAAGTAATGGAAGAAACCGTAGTAATTTGCAGGTTGAAGCAGCATTTCAATCTTCACGTTTACCTTTTTGCTCTGCTCCAAGATGGTGGAGAGGGGCACCATCTCTCCGAAACGGTCCAGTTCCTGCCGCAAAAACCGACAGGGTAGGGGACAGACAAACAGACAAACAGACAGATCACACGGGACCGCAAATGTCAGATGCCAAGGAACCACACAAAACGCGTGCGCTCAACATCGAACACGCAACATCAAGACCCGGGTGAAACCAACAGCAGTACACTGCCGTCTCGAACCTCCCATTCTCAATGCCCCTTCTCGAGGAAGAGCTTCTTAAGTCCAACGCGTCCAGCGCATGCGAGTACGGCCCGCATCCATCACCACAGTCGACCAGAGTTCCTAGCAAAGCTTCTTTCCCCCCCCCCCCACAGCAAAGACTTCCATTCCAACAGCTGTGGTACTGTCTCGAACCGGAAATCTTTTTGCGATTGCACGTGTATTTTACAAAAATAATGCTCGAAACCACAACACGCCCAAACCATCCGAGGAAACAACAAAAGCAACTCACGCGCATGAGATCCCTCCTCGGAAACTTCCCGTAAAATTCCGCGGAAACAAAAACAACTCACGCGCATGAGATCCCTCCTCGGAAAATTCCCGGAAAATTCTGCCAGCACCGGAGAGCCAGGGAGTGTCGCCTTGATAGCTTCTCTCGTCACCTGAAGGAAGCGGGGGGGAGCATTCGAAGCAACACCGCAGAGGTTACCGGGGCGTACTCATATTTGCCCGCTTCTGCGGTTCGACCATTGGCACCACGCGTCCTCGAGAGACGAAACATTTATCAGGGGGGGGGGGG